TGTGTAGTTTTATCTGCTAAATCATTGCCCAAACTAAGGGCTCCAGGCAATCCTGTATGTGCCCTGATATGTCCTATAAAGAATGGATCTTTTCTGTCCCAGATTAGACTTTGTATAGTGGAAAGCAAAGAGAAAACAGTAGAAGAAGGGGAAATCCTACCAGCATCTTCAAGAGATACTATAGCATTAACTACATACTGACTATCAGAAAATAAATTAAATACAGAATCTTTAAACAGCCTCAGGCTGTGGCTCTCAACAGAAAGGTAAGGGATTTGGTTTTCTATTGATGAAATAAGATTGATCACATTCCTATTCATATCTACACAGTTGGATTTTTATCCTACATGAATTTAAAAATTCAAGTTAATTATCTCTTTGATTTTTTTATATATCCATCAAATGATCTTTAACACTTGGTATTTGAGCCTCTAAAATGGTCCAGGAACTGTTTCAGTACACACGCAAGACTTTCCCTCTAATCTTGCACCACTTGTGTGCTTAGCAGGTATTTTATTTATTTAGATCTTTTCCAAAATAAAGATCTTCATTTATTCATTCAAATAGTTAAGTATATACTATGTGCCAAAAGGTCTTGAAATGATGGGATTTTATAGGAAGGTGTGTATGTAAAAGGAAGTAAATTATAATCCATAGATCCTGAAAATGATAGAAATATAAATAAAATATCACAGCACTCCAGAAAAAAACAACCGGGGATCAGGTGGAGTGGTTGCATCCTATACATAAGGAGACCAGAAGAGAGAAAAAGTAAAGAGAAAACAAGATAAATGGAAAGATTTTCTCCTTATAAATGCTTCCAACACCAATAGTAATAGTAACTTTCTTTCCAGCCGGCCCACACTTCCACGAGGCCTTCTATAGAATTCAAAAGGAGAGTTGACATACCATAAGCCCATCGGTGGAGATGTGTGGACTGCACAGAGTGCCAGAAGGGAAGCAAGGATTCACAGGAATCTGTGATCCTTCTGTAGCTCACTGGTGAGATGAGGCACCAAGATATCACCTCAGTCTCAGCACTTCAAACTGACATGAAGAAGGGTTATTCTTTCATTAATATATGAAGGTAAAGAAAAAACTATTTTACAGAGGGTATCATGCAAAAATTAAAGTGAGATATGTGAAAAACAAAAGAGGCATTTAATCTGAACTAGCTAAATATGTGAATTAATGACCAAATTTTTAAAAGAGCTAGAAAAAAAAATGAGGAACAAAAAAAGTTCTCGATTTTCTAAAATGGACCTGCAAGTCCTCCTTCTTCAAAAGGAAGTAAAGTTACTGGGCATAGTGGTATACATCTGTAACCCAATCTACCAGGAAGGCTAAAACAGGAGAATGGCAAATTTGAGGCTAGCCTCAGCAACTTAGTGAGATCCAGTCTCAAAGTAAAATAAAAAAAAAAAAAAAAAAAATGGGATGTAGCTCAGTGACAAAAAACTTGCCTAGCATGTGTGAGGCCCTGGGTTCTATCCCAGTAGTATAAAAGAAAAAGAAAAAAGTCACTGAACTATTTTACTTTAAATTCAAATTGAACCCAATCAACAAATGGGCCAAGGACCTGAACAGATACTTCTCAGAAGAGAATGTACAATCAATCAACAAATATATGAAAAAATGTTCATCATCTCTAGCAATTAGAGAAATGCAAATCAAAACTACTCTAAGATATCATCTCACTCTAGTCAGAAATGGCAGCTATTATGAAGACAAACAATAAGTGTTGGAGAGAATGTCGGGGAAAAGGTACACTCATATATTGCTGGTGGGACTGCAAATTGGTACAGCCAATATGGAAAGCAGTATGGAGATTCCTTGGAAATCTGGAATGGAACCACCATTGGACCCAGCTATCCCTCTCCTCAGTCTATACCCAAAGGACACAGTGCATACTACAGGGACACAGCCACATCAATGTTTATAGAAGCACAATTCACAATAGCTAAACTGGAGCTAACCTAGATGCCCTTCAGTGGATGAATGGATAAAAAAAAAGTGGCATATATTCACAATGGAATTTTACTCAGCAAAAAAAGAGAATAAAATCATGGCATTTGCTGGTAAATGGATGGCGTTGGAGAAGATAATGCTAAATGAAGTTAGCTAATCCCCAAAAAACAAATGCCAAATGTTTTCTCTAATATAAGGAGGCTGACTCATAATGGGGTGTGGGGAGCCATGAGGGGAATATCTATTCCTAGATATTCTAGATAGGGCAGAGGGGTGGGAAGGAAAGGGAGGGGGCAGGGGATTAGCAAGGATGGTGAAATGTAATAGACATCATTATCCAAAGTACATGTATGAAGACAGGAATTGATGTCAACATACTTTGTTTACAACCAGAGATATGAAAAATTGTGCTGTATATGTGTAATAAGAATTGTAATACATTCCACTGTCATTTATTTTTTTTAAATCAATAAAAAATAAATGAATAAATAGATAAATTCAAATTGAAAGGGGACACATGTTTTGTTTTGTTTTAGTTTCTTTAGTTGTAGATAGATACAACACGTTTATTTTGTTTAATTTACTTTTATGGGGTGCTAAGGATTGAACCTAGTGTGTCACACTTGCTAGGCAAGTGCTCTACTGTTGGGCTACAACCCCAGCCCTAGAAAGGGGACACAGCAGGAAAAACCCAGAAAACACCACTAGATCACTTTGGAGAAATGAATGTTTTTTGGCTATTTGGATGGATAACAGATCAATTGGAGAAAAAAAGTCACTGTTAAATTGCTTTGTATTTACCTCCACCGTCCCCTTCAAGAATGCATATTTTAAGGGAAACAAGTTATTGTATTAAAAATTATTTGCTCTCGTATTTCTCAAGCTACATCAAATAATGAAAAAAGAATCTTGATTATAAACTCCCTGGTATAAATTCCAACTATCATCTTTACCAAACTAAAATTCAGATGATCACTTTCAATCAACTTTTAATCAAGTGCTCCTTCAGTTACTTAGAAGTAACTGAAAACGTTTCATGACTTTTTTTAAAGTGCATCAAAATGTGGAAGATAATATAGATGTTTCAGTTAGAAAGGTTGAGAAAAACACAGTAGGGAAGAAGAACACATCAAAATATCACCCCAGTCAATGATACAAACACAGGTTATGAGCAAATGTTTAAAGGGCTCTCCAAGAAATTGGTTGATTCTACTACATCAATAGCTCTAAATTTTTTAACAATAAACTTTTGACATAAATACAGTAGTGTGTATTGGGACTGATACATTTAATTGTGTGTTTTTCTTTTTAAAAATAAAAGTGCTTGTATTTAGTTGCTTTTTTTTCAGGTGTTATCATGTTAGAATCCTCTCATCTCTGAAGCTCTTTTAAGAAAATCTGTCTCAGCCCTGATCAATTGCTCTCTATGAGTGTTTTGATAAACACAGTCCCACATGGAACAGATTTTTTACATTCTATTTCCCATTTGTTGTTAATTCTAGGAAGTATAGCCCATCTATTGAATACTAAGCAGTGTGTTAAAGCAATGAACATTTAAAAAGGGACACACAGTGTTAAGTGTAGGCTCCTATTGCGGGCACTGGTGGAAAGAAATAAGGAATAAACACATGCCCCAGAGACTTAGAAAAAAAAGAGGTAGTTGGGTTCCCTTTGCAAAACTTTGGGCAGGGGCCTGGAATACCTTTGGCACTGTGAGTCACTGTTAATTTCAAAGGGAACCCATTAAGAAAGATAATGACATGACATAACTATAATAAAAAAATTTATTATTTTAGCAATACACTGAATCAGGCAGAGCATTCTGCATTCTAATGCTTTACATGAACTTGCACAATCCTCAAAATAGCCCTTTGCAGTAGACACTATTCTCGTTACCATTTTATAGATAAAGAAACAGAGTGTAGTAATTAGAAAATTTGCCTAAGATTACAAAGCTGTTAAGTGGCAGAGCATAAGCTCCATGCCCCTGTGTTTTAACTGTTTCACCACAAGTCCAAATTGAATTTCTAATGACTATTTCTCTCTCAGTGGAGCAAATGGGGAGTGTTAAAATTCTTAATTCTTAATATCCATGCTACCATTTTAAAAAAAGTTGGTATGAAGAGTTCTATAAATAGCACCGATACTCTTCTATTTACTTTTCACTCATACATTAGAAGACAATATTTATTTCCGGTCAGTCTACCAAGAGGAAGTTGGGCATTCATTATGACAAAATGAAGCAAAAACAAGGGATAAAGTAAACAAATTGTATAAAGCATTGCTGCACAAATATGATTCTCAATTCTGTATAACAATACAAAATGCCTTCCCAGATTCTGGCTTAAAGGTAATTATTTTACTGAATTTCTCCAAATAACACTGATGCCAATCTCACACTATTTTTCCAGCCAGTAACAGAAAATAGTTTAAGACAGTAACAGGAACAGAGAAAGAAAAAAACAGGGATAAAAATTTTAAAGGAAAAATAAAAAAAAAAAAGAGTATATCTGAAGGCTGTATAATTTAAGAATTATTTAAAATTGAGAGTTAATAAAATTATATCTCTATTTTCTCTCTCCCAGTTATTTCTACAGGGAAAAAAAAAGAACTAAGTAAAAAGAAAGCAGTAAATGAAGAGATTCAGAAGGAAAAGGTAAGGTCCAGCTATCTTTTGAAGGCAGTGGATAGAAATGTCCCTTCAGGGCCATCTTAGTCCTAACAAGATGTGGAGCTTCAACCTCCAGTGGTGGTTCCAACTGAGATGCATGGAGGCAGTGGTTCCCAAACTTCAATATACACAGCAATTAATGAAGAATTCCAAAATCCTATCCCCTGAAATTCTAACTCAACACTCTTGAGCATGAGGTATAAGAATCTTCAACTGCACAACCTTCCCAGTGATTTTTAATTGGGCTATCTACAGGTTAGATTCTTAAAAATACGTAGGAGCACAGACTCATCACCCAATAAGCACTGCAATGACTCATTACGATACACATTCTCAGAACACTCACTGTCCCATATCCTACCTGTTTCAGCATCCTTGGGCCTGTGTTCTTCATCAGGAGGTCTTGACGGTGGCCACATAGATGGGACTCGCCTGGGAAACTGACCTTCTGTGTAATCCAGTGAGTGTGTGGGTTGACTGACTGCAGCCCAGGTATAAAGTTGATCTTGCTATATTTAAAAATAAAATAATTATAAATACTATCAATCCAATCATGAAAAATAGGAGTCTTAAGTCTTGCCAAAGCATTTCTATGTAAAGCACATAAATAAGGTGTATGCTAATTAATTAGAGAATTCCCTGAACTGGAGTTGTAACTCATTTGAATGTCCCTTTATCTGTGGTTTTTGTTTGTTTGTTTTTATGGGTTTTATTTTTTTTCTTTTATTTTTATTTATTTGTTTGCTTATTTCTTTATTGGCCTTTTGATATAAGTTTTTATTATGTTGCCCAGGCTGCTGCCAAACTCTTGGGCTCAAGTGATCCTCCTACCTTGGCCTCCCAACTAGTTGGAACTACAGGCGTGAGCCACAACACTGAACTGATATCCCTTTAAAAACTGTTTTTACACTGTGGGAAACTCAGAGTATAAGTTGTACTTTGGTGCCACAAAAACGATAATAGCCTCTTTGCCTTCAACAACACAAGACTCAGAAAATTGCCTTATTTTGGACCCAGATTGGAAGCTATTTGGGAGAGAAACCATAAAAAAGTAAATGAACCTGCCAAGAGTAAAAGAATTAGACAGAGATCTTCTGGCTAAAAAGGCTTTGCCAGCTGCCAGCCAACTGATTCTGGACATGATGTGAAGGCTTGTAACTATACTTAGCACCAGAAGAAAAACTGGACAACTCACAAAGGAAGCCACTTGAATCCCATAAACACCTTGCAAAACTTGACACTAGGTTTTCACAATAACTTGTTTGACCATTTTAAAATGTATCTGCTTAATATGTGTGCCCTATATTCTTTTTGTGAAATTTTTCTTATTCAGGTAGAGTTCCCTAACACCTTTTGATTGACACCAAATAAAGCAATGAGAAAAACAATATAGCAGGGATGAAATGCAAAATATAAACAAAAACCATACTGTAATCACTAGGCTAGGACATTAGAGAATATGCCCATATTTGAAAAGGGTAAGTCTCAGGCAAGGACAGTGCTATGTCCAGCCAGTAGCTTAGGAGGATGTCTCCTTGCCTGCTGACAACAATTAGGCACAGAATCTCATCTCCTTTTGTGTTTGTTTCACCCAGACTTTTCATGAAAGGTGTGGCCAAGCACCTACCCAAGTAGCAAGTTAGACATGCTCTGACCTCTCCAGAGGACTTTTGTGCACATTAATGTTGTTTAATAAATGTCTCTATGTCTGACAGAATTTGATTTGAGATTTGCTTTCATTAGGACCCATGTTTAATGGGCCTAGACATTTCAGAAAGAATAATCTCCCACAAAAAATCAAAAGTTTTCATTAGAAATAAAAGTGTAAAACATTGCTTCCAAGTACATAGTTCATGGATTTTTTAAAACACTCTAAATAATCTCCCCTTAGTTGCATAGATAAAATCTATTTCATGCCAGCAGAGGGCTCTCCACCTTGTTACACTGATCTCAAAAAGAAATGCTTCTACCAAACCTTGCTTGGGTGTGACCTGTGAGATAAGGTGCCCATTCACTGCCAATGGCTAAAAATGCCCATCCCATCACGTATTGTTATCTTTAGGAGGGCTCTGAAGATACAGTCATTTCATGTTAGAATTTTACACCTTTACCTGAAGAATTAAATAGATGGATGGTATTTTGAGTTTGTTTTTTTAGTCATAGACACAATGTGAATTAGGTTGATCAGATGTGCTTTTCATTTTGGCTATTAGAAGTAAGTACGTGGCCTGTCTGCCACAATTTTGGGGATTCCGGAATGTTTTATTTTGTGGTGCTGGGACCAAACTCAGGATCTTACACATGTTAGGCAAGCACTCTACCACTGAGTTATACCCCCAGCCCTTCAGAATGTTTTTGATTAGTCTTAATCCTTTGTGGTCCACCTCAGTTTTTTGTTTGTTTGTTTGTTTATTTACTTTTGTTTTTTCTTCTTTAAAGATTTTAATAGCAGCACATTTTTCATTATCTTTTCATATCCCTTCTTACTAAATTTTTATACTAAATTCATACCTTCTCAAACACCTTTTGGACTAAGTGGCAATAAAGTATCATTACTATTAGAGAAATGGCGGAGTGTCTACTTTATCCATTTTTAACTCATCTAAATCACTTATAAGATGACTGATTGGATAAAAAGTGAATCTACTGACAGTAGACTGAATTGAACTCATAAGTTTTTTTTTTCCTATTTATCATGTAATTATTAAAAAATTATAATATAACCTTAAAATTGTGTTGCAGTGGGGGAGATCAGAAAAACAGTAAGTAATCGGTACCATAATATAATACAATCCATTTTTAATCACTACTTAATTTGCTGTAATTATTTTCACACCCTTTTATAAATAACATAATTAGATTTTTTAAATAACTTCATTGTCTTCACACTTATAATTTATATTTCTGTCTTGATCTTCAAATACTTAACACTATAATATTATCTTTACATGGTTTTATATAAAAACATATACTCATAGGCCAGTGACTTTAGTGAGCATCTCAAACTACCCTGGCCTCCCAGGTTAGTGCTTGCAGAAAGAAATGGACTATGCCTTTTTAGATTTTTCCATTTCATGCTGAACAACACACCAAAGATGGATTTGGGACAAACAAGTGCTTGGAATTCCCCAAAGTGCTAAAACTGCAACACACCAATGACTGACTTGTGAGAAACCTGGACTTAGGGTGACATCTGGTGCTGAAACAATGGAAGTGATAACAAGTTCAAAGAAAATAAGAAACGTAGAATTTCTGGAAAGATAGGCACAAACAAAGCAAAATTATAAAGTCTGGAATCAATACCTAACCCTTGAATGCACAGACCATGCCAGACACAGACAAGCAGCAAGAATTTTCAGGGAAGTAGAAACTACTAGTGAAGGGGAAGGGGAAAGGAGTTGGAGAGGGGATAAGTGGAGAGAGAGGGTAGGGAAGGATAGAAAGGATGAAAAAATAAATAAATCATTTTAAAACAAAACAAATTTCTGGGAACCATGAGCTAAAGTATCATTCAAAATAAAGAGCAAGAAAATGAACAAAAGGTAACTAATTGGTGAATTCTCACATGAAAAATTTTAAAACTGTTATTTGAAGGAAATTCAACAAGATTCAAGAAAACAGAGAAATGTTTCAATACTCATAACAGAGAATCCTTGCAACGAGATGGAAGCAATTAAAAAATATCCTTAAACTGAAAAATATACTAATCGAAATTGAAAACATTATAGAAGGCATCAATAGTAGAATAAATCAAACAGAAGAAAGAATCAGCTCAAAAAAGACTATTGGAAAAAACACAGAAGAAAAAAAAAAGGATGAAGAGGAATGAAGAAAACTTATAGGAACTTGGAGATGTCATTAAAAACAAATATTCAAGTTACTGGAGTTCAAAAAGGACTTCAACATGACAAAACAGTATAAAGTTTATTCAAAGAGAAAGTAATAGAAAACACCCCAATCCTAGAAAACAATACAAATATCCAGAAGCATACAGAAAGGTCAAAGGTCACCAGTAAAATTTATATCAACCAAGTCTACCCTAAGACATATTATGATCTCAAAGGTAAAATATTATGAGAAAATTCTCAAGTTAGCAAGAAAAAGAAAATCAAAACCAGAAAACATTTCTGAAATTAATTATAATGAAAATATTATATGCCATAAGTTTGGGGTGTAGTCAGTTATGTTGAAAGAGAAATGTTTTGGTTTAAATATACATATTAAAGGAATAAAATGGTTTAAAATATATGCATCTCAACAATTAAGTTAAAACAAAACCCTTGTAATGTAGTTCAAAGAAGAAAATAGATAAAAGTACTAATAAAGTAGCCTTCAAAGAAGTCCTCTAAAAATATAAATAAATAAAACTGAAAGCCTCTGACAGGTATAATCAGGTAGAGATTTAAATAACCAATGTATGAAATGAAAATGGAGAGTGGTGGTGGTGATGGCCCATGCCTGTAATCCATCCACTCAAGAGACTCAGGGTGACTCAGCAATTTAGGCCCTAAACAACTTAGTGAGACCCTCTATCAAAATAAAAAGGGCCAGAGATATAACTCAGTGGTAAAGTCCCTTGGGTTCAATCCCCAGTACAAAAGAAAGAAAGAAAAGAATATGAAGAGCTGGGAATATAACTCAGTGGTATAGAGCTTGCCTAACATGCAGAAGGCTCTAGGTTTGATCCTCAGCACTATAAAAAAACAGAAATGAGAAAGGTATCATACAGACCCAAGTGATTAAGAAGATAGTGGTCATGTATAACTAAAAAGAACAAATAAAACATTTTTGATAAATGGAAAAAAAAGAATGTAGTGGAATAACTATAACAAATTTTTTAATTAGAGAAAATGGAAAAATTCTTAGAAAAAAATGTAACTTACCAAAACTATCATGCAAAATAGAAACTGTAAAGGGTCCCACAACTGGCCTTTGCTTTCATGATGTCTTTTGGGGGGGCGGGGTGTGTGTGCAGGGGGCGGGGGGAGAGCATGTATAAATGTCATAACTCCCATAACAACTGAAGATAGGGAACTTGAAATAGTGTAATTCCTGCTTCTGATAATCTTCACAGAGGATATAATTGGTCAAACTATGAGTACTGTTGACCTAACTACTTGAGAATCAGTGGGGAAGAAAAGATCATGTGAGTTCTTTTATCAGACACCATCACACAGTGTTTGGTTGGGAAATGAAGGTACTCATGACAAGAGTTAAGATAGGAAAGAAGGAATAACAGACATTATTAGGCATACAAACAAGATTTTAATTAGTTCAATTTTTAAGAGATGTTATATATGAACTTAAATACTTAGATTAACAGTATTCAGCCTGTCATTTTATCACTTAGAGACTTTACAAGAATGTAGACAAAATAGGGATATGTTAGGGATCCAGAAGAAAGTTAATTATTAATCAATCAGGCACAGAATACAGGAAGAGCATACTAGATCAATAATGCACTCATAAGAGGGTGAGGTCTTGAAAGAACTTCTTAGTAAGTAGATCA